GTGTGAGGGGAGATGGAAGGGAGCTAGAGAACAATTGCAATTGTGGCATGAAGCAGTCAGGTTAATGTAAAGGAACGGACCAAGCTCTCCATTTTCATTAGCTGGAGGACAGCTTCACAGGGGAAGGCTTGTGACTTAAGGGAAAGTCCAGGAATACTTCAGATGGGAAGGCTGCATAATAAGATAGGTGAGCCCAGCCAAAGGACTTGGGTTTAGCTTCATTATTTATAAAATGGACCTATCTCAGAAGTTCAGTTGTATGCTGTGAAGGAGTTTGAGATTCGTTATGCGCTAAAATGAACTAAGTTTTTCTTAATTTTTGTTTTTACTTTTTAGCTATTTTGTTGGCATATGAAGTTTCATAATGCTCTCTTTCTCACTCTGCTTTCGTTTTCTCAAAACATGGTTTCTCTGTGTAGTCCTGGCTGTCCTAGAACTCGCTCTGTAGCCCAGATTGTTGGGATTAAGGCATGTGGCACCACCTCTGCCTCTGCCTCCCGATTGTTGGGATTAAGGCATGTGGCACCACCACGGCAGCATTTTAATATATACATGTATGGCATTATATTTTGTTCTTGTTCATTCCCTGAATCTTTTCTTTAATGAGCCCTTCAACAATCCAGTTGATATATGCTAGTGGCAATAATGCTTTATATATTTGAAATAAGTAATAAAATTAGCAAATAGTATCTTTTCCCAGATTTTTTTTGGAGACACATTAAAAGCCTGAGATCCAAAGTCTGTATCTCAGGGTCAGCCTCTTGTATCCTCATACACCTTCTGAGTTTTTTCCCCTTTTGCTTTTCCTTGAACAGGTGGGCCTGACTCTTGTTGAGTCTAGAATTAACCTTCAGGGCTTGCTTTTCTAACCACATGCCGTGTGACTCTACTGTGACTTTGCAGTTAAATTAATGTTTCTGATCCTCATGTTCATTTACTTAGTGTAGTAATATTCTGGGATTGTATGCCACCTTACAGCTTTCCTGGGGGAGTTAAATTCCTTAACTCTCCACCCAAGCCTCTCAACATGTTCTCTAACTGCTCGGATGCCACCATTCCCTTTTCTCTAGGCCTTTTGAATTACTTGTACTCTCATAGAGCTTGGTGTCTTACTTTCTGGCTCTTATTTTTCCAAATACTTATTTTTCTGATTCATCTAGCTATACCCAGAGTGTCACTCCCTCTTTTCTTAAAGATTGCTTCCCACGTGAGGGTATGTATATGGAAGCAGTGCTTGTAGGCATTGCTGCTCATCTTGTATGTTTTAAATAGCCATTCCTCCTGGGGCACTACCTACTTTGCTAATGGTATTTGTGTGGTGCCCTGGGACATAGTTCATTTACACTGGTAGAATAATGCTGCCACAGATTGACCCTCAGTGGAGATGTAGGTGGGGGCAAGATACAATATGTGTATTTTCTCAGTCCTTCATCGCTTACCATTTCTATCACAGGCAGGACTGGACCAGGCCTAAAAAAGGAAGTTTGGGTAAATAAAAACAGTTGAAATGTGCTACAGAAGGAGAGAAACTATTGCTTTCCTCCCTTCTAGTATTGGTACACTTTTAATGTTTATTTCCTTATTTTATTCCTTGACAATTTCATACATTTCTACATGTTTGGTCAATTTTCTCTCCCTATTGCCCTATTTCAAAGGCAGTTTAGCAAGGAAGTCTCTGTCTTTGTCTTTCTCTGTCTCTTCCTCCCTCCTTCCCTCCCTCCCATCCTTCCTCTTTCCTTCCTCCCTCCTTCTTCCCTTCCTTCCTCCCTTTCTCCCTCCCACCCTCCTTCCCTTCTTTTTCCTATTCTTTTTTTTTCTTGTGACAAAGTAAGTTAAATCGAGACAAAGTAAGTTTAAATAGAGCACCGGTGGGGAGCTTATTGGAGCAACTCACCTGTTGCTATGATACTAAAGAAAATGGCTTCTCTTCCACCAGCATCCTTTAACTGCCAATAGCTTCTCAGGTAGAGCTGGGGCCTCCTGAGTGACTCCCCTGCTTGTGATGGGATTTTGTTTCTGTGCTGGTAACCATAGCTCCTGTGAGTTCATGAGTACAATAGCCATGCCATCTTGAGAAGAAGGTGTTTCATAGCATTCTGCCACATCCTTTGGCTCTTCTATTTTTTTCTACTCCCTCGCCTGTAGTGTTCCTCGAGCTTTGGAGGGGGACATTATAAATGTCTTGTTTAGGAATAAACACTCAATAGTCACTCAATCTCAGCACTTTTATCAGTTATGAGTCTGCACATTAACTGTTGTCGACAGCAAACAGAATATTCCTAAGACTGCACTAATCTATGGGTATAAACATAAATATTTGGAAGGCAGTTTGACACCCTGTCCATTTAGCAAAACAACAGTAGTAGCTGTTCCCTGAACCCCTCCCCTAGGGCCCATGAGCTCCCAGCTATGGTCTTTTGACCATATTTGCAGAACTGGGCATGAATTTCCTTCAGTGGATTAGGGCCTCAAATCTAAGCAGAAAGTGTTTGCTTACCCCCCACGACAGTCTTGTAACTGTTGCATCTGTAGATATATCTTGCCTAGTAGTTCACTATTATTACAGCTTGAGAACAGGGTTCATAGCTGGGAAAGATGATTGATGTCTTTGCTCTCCCAGAAGCTTGCATAACACCTTCTGGCACCATGAAAGTTAGCCATGGGTGAGTGGGGGGGACCTTTGATTTCAGTTTCAGTATGATTTTTTTGATGTCCTGCAACCAAAGTGTGTGGTGTTTTCAGGAATAGGGTCACTAGTTGTTGCAGACAATGAAGAACAAAGGTGATATCTTGTATTCTTTTAGAGAACCTTGGAGCCTTCTTCCCTAACAACTCATCAGGAAGCAGCCCATATTTGGCACCATGACTTCTGGAAGCAGCATTGTCCACCTGTACAGGGTGCTTCCTTTTTTGGAAGTTAGCTTGTAAGATAGGTTTTCACATGACCTTTGCATGCATCCTTAGCTTTTGCTAATAACCCTCTATTCTCTTTTCTCTCCTGTTCCTTAGACCCCATCCCTGCTCAAATTATTCTGCTTCCAATATTGTCCACCTCTACCACATCACATTCCTTCTACTATTTCCTTCTCTTGCTTCTAACTCTCTGGTCTTTACCATCACTCCCAACGTAAACAGTCAAATCTAAACATCCTAAAGTAGGATCCACTCACGAGAGAGAAACTAATGTGGTATTGGTCTTCCTAGTCTTTGGATACCTCACTTAATATACAATTTCCAGTTCCATTCAATAGAAAATCCATCTCTAAAATTCAATTTTTCCTTTCCTGAAGGGAAGGCATGCAATAAATTAAATCATTCAAATAGTGATTTCTTTTATGATTTCATTTTCCCTTTACTTGCTTGCCTGTGCCTCTGAGTGTCTCCTACTCTCTGTCTTTGGAAAACTATCTCCTAGGATTTATTTTCCTCAGTTGTCATGTCTACTATCTTGAAATTATTTTGCTGTTGCCTACCAGCACTGCCCATGATAGCCTTTGACACCACATCTTGCACTGTGGCCGAGTGTTTTCATGACTTGTCTTAGATGTTGATGTTTTTTGAGGCTCTCCTGCCAACGTGAATTTTACAAGTGCCTTTTGTTCTTCTGGGTGATCACTGGGCAACTCTTGAATAAGACATCATATACCTCTCCCAAAGATCAACTTTAAATTTTTCACATAGTACAGTTTAAGCCAGTAGTACAAAGAGAAATAGTTCCTTTAATGTCCCGAAGGAGTCTCATTATGAAGACAGAACTTGACTTTGCCATGCTGATGCTGAGGATAATATTTCTCTGTTTCTAAATGACTATCATAGTAGAATTGAACTCCCTTAGTTTTCTATTCAAGAGAAAGAGGTTCATGGCTATGTCATGATGGTTCACTTTGAAAATAAAAAAGAAAAATCTAACTGCAGCTGTTAAATCACGGTTGTTTGCAAGGTTAGATTAAATTATTAAAGGGTTGCTATTAGCTAGCCTCCTTATTAATGGTGTGGGTTTAAATTTTGTTCTTTTGCATAACTCATTCCTCCTTTTCCTTTAATTGTCATATTCCTCCAAAAGCTTGTCAACATCATTTTGTCAAGTGCCCTTTGGTCCTCTGACAACCTGGCATGTATCTACTATAGCATTACACCATAATGGTGATTGATCTCACTGTTCTCATAGCATATTAAACTTTGTGAGTAGTCTGTAATATTTATTGAATGATAAATGAATAGTAAAGTGGAATTTATTAGTTTTAAACCATTTCTCCTTTACCTCCACAAACCATAATGATTGCATATAAGATCTCATAGATGACCAGTTTATTTCTAGTTTCTAAAATGACTATCTGGTTCTTTAAGGTGATGTTTATTTTTGGTTTCAAGTTAAAACTGGATTCTAAGAATGTGAATTAGGGAAAGAGGGTTAAAGAGCTGCTGAGGCCTGGCTCACCACTGCCCATTTCTCCTGCTCTAGAGCTGCTGTGTGCTGCCCTGCTTGGGAAGTTAGAAGCTGAGACAAGAGCTTGTATTCAGCGTCAGTCTCTTCTAGTCAGAAATGGTTGGCTGTTGATTGATTGCTGTTTCCTACATCATTAATTTAACTTTGTTTATTTTGGAAAGAGTGATATCTTTTACTATAAAAAACCCAGTTTTCAGTGTAGTTTCCATGTAAGAGGAAATAATAATTATTGAGGAGTGGAAAAGAAGAAATTAGACCCATAAAGCATATTTCCCTTTCTACATATGTGTATTCATATGCAAGTACACAGGAAATTCATGAAATACTTGCAAATTTATGTATTTTGGTTTATGGAAAGCTTCTGTGTAAGAGATTTTCGAGGTCAGTGTGCACATTCAGATCTAAGCTGTGTGGCCCACAACAGCTTTTTATAACACAGATCTTTTGAAGGGAACTAGTAGTTTCAGCTAAAGTATATCTCTTTGTATTAACAAAAATTAGTAAAATACTTCTTTGTTTTAAGATTATGTGTATTATTTGACTTCTTTTATAGAAATTTCAAGAAATTGCAGAAAAAAACATGGAAAAGTTGAACCGTATTGAAAACTCACACGAACAATTGGTTCTTGAAAATTCACATTTCAAAAGTGCATTGGCCAAGACTCAGAGGGAACAGACGTGCTTGCTAGCGGCTTGTGCGCTGATGGCCGGTGCATTGTATCCCCTTTATAGCAGGTCTTGTGCCTTATCCACACAGAGAGACTTTCTCCAGGAGCAAGTCAACGGCTTGGAATTGTTCAAACTGGAAATTAGAACTCTAGCCCAGGCACTGGCAGCAGTAGACGAAAAGAAACAAGAAGAAGCCAAACCAAAGAAAAAAGCATTCAAAGGACTGATTCGTGTGTTCCGGAAAGGTGCAATTGCAATTTTGGCAGCAAACAGACTCAAGATTTTGGGCCAATCCTGTGCCTCTTTTTTTACCTGGATTGAAAGTTGTAAAGAAGGCATAGGCATGCTGGTGTGTACAGGAGAGCCCAAAGACAAGCACAAATTTCCAAGTAAGATAATTTGTGCTTTTAAAAATCTAAGTTATATTGAAGTGAAATACAATGTGTGTGTGGTTGGCTATTATACAAAACCTTCAAAGAATTATGCAATACATCAAATCATATAACATAGTCCAGTTTATCTTCAGATGTATATGTGTATAAATATATATTTTATAAAAATTATCCTTGATTTTTTGTTGTAAACTGATATTAAGAAGCAAATATATATAATTTCAGTATTGTCTAACTTTATTATGTTTGAATCATCTTTTTTTAAAAGGTATAGTGGAGAGTTTATACATCAGTTATTCAATTGTGACAATCTGAATAAAAGAAACCTTAAAAATTATCAGAATAAGTTATCCATGCTTTCAGTATGAAATCAGAATAAAATGATGAGAGTTAAAAATACCTTGAAGAGTTGTTTAAAAATGAGGCAAATACAAATTTCCACCTGACATTTCTTTGGAATGTTTTACTAGTTTTGAGGAAACAGATTTAGTTGTTAACTTTTAAAAATTCATGCCTTCAGATCAACCCCAAGGCTAACTTGCATGAAACAAGTGCTGGCTTTTGTACCCTCAACCCTCATGCAACTTCTAAGAATCAGGCTATTGTAACACAACCAAAACTAAAGGAAATGTCTGTCTTTCTTGATGCTTGTTATTTAATGTTAGGATAGTCAGATGTAACTAGATTTTCCATACTAGGGAACATTAGGCAAGCAAAGTCTGATATACTTAAGTAGCTGGTCGCTGCCTTGAAATTTAAGTGTGGATGTGAATAACTTGTAGTGTTTCATGATGGATCATTACACTTCTGCAGAGCATCAAAGGGAGCAGTTACGTTGTGTACAAGCACTTACTTGGTTCACCAGTTCCGACCTTCTTGCTGCAATCATCAGTTCTATGACTGAGCTGCAAGAAGTAATTAGTAAAACAGGTATGATCACTTTTTATGTCTATGCAAAGGATACTTAAAAAATGTCTAGAAATCAAGAAAAGGGGGTAGGGGTGGGGGCTAGTGGGG